AAAGAAGTTTTTTCAACATTTTGTCATATATCACGAACTATTGGACCAATCGAGCTGAAACTCAGCGCGTTGTGCTCAGCAGGTTGCGGGCGACCGATTAGCACTGTTATTCTCCAATTTGCAAAAAGAAGTTTTTCAACATTTTGTCATATCTCACGAACTATTGGACCAATCGAGCTGAAACTCAGCGCGTTGTGCTCAGCAGGTTGCGGGCGACCGATTAGCACTGTTATTCTCCAATTTGCAAAAAGAAATTTTTTCAACATTTTGTCATATCTCACGAACTATTAGACCAATCGAGCTGAAACTCAGCGCGTTGTGCTCAGCAGGTTGCGTGCGACCGATTAGCACTGTTATTCTCCAATTTGCAAAAAGAAGTTTTTTCAACATTTTGTCATATCTCACGAACTATTGGACCAATCGAGCTGAAACTCAGCGCGTTGTGCTCAGCAGGTTGCGGGGGACAGATTAGCACTGTTATTCTCCAATTTGCAAAAAGAAGTTTTTTCAACATTTTGTCATATCTCACGAACTATTGGACCAATCGAGCTGAAACTCAGCGCGTTGTGCTCAGCAGGTTGCGGGCGACCGATTAGCACTGTTCTTCTCCAATTTGCAAAAAGAAGTTTTTTAACATTTTGTCATATCTCACGAACTATTGGACCAATCGAGCTGAAACTCAGCGCGTTGTGCTCAGCAGGTTGCGGGCGACAGATTAGCACTGTTATTCTCCAATTTGCAAAAAGAAGTTTTTTCAACATTTTGTCATATCTCACGAACTACTGGACCAATCGAGCTGAAACTCAGCGCGTTGTGCTCAGCAGGTTGCGGGCGACCGATTAGCACTGTTCGTTTCCAATTTGCAAAAAGAAGTTTTTTCAACATTTTGTCATATCTCACGAACTATTGGACCAATCGAGCTGAAACTCAGCGCGTTGTGCTCAGCAGGTTGCGGGCGACCGATTAGCACTGTTCTTCTCCAATTTGCAAAAAGAAGTTTTTTCAACATTTTGTCATATCTCACGAACTATTGGACCAATCGAGCTGAAACTAAGCGCGTTGTGTTCAGCAGGTTGCCGGCGACCGATTAGCACTGTTCTTCTCCAATTTGCAAAAAGAAGTTTTTTCAACATTTTGCCATATCTCACGAACTATTGGACCAATCGAGCTGAAACTCAGCGCGCGTTGTGCTCAGCAGGTTGCGGGCGACCGATTAGCACTGTTCGTCTCCAATTTGCAAAAAGAAGTTTTTTCAACGTTTTTTCATATCTCACGAACTATTGGACCAATCGAGCTGAAACTCAGCGCGTTGTGCTCAGCAGGTTGCGGGCGACCGATTAGCACTGTTCTTCTCCAATTTGCAAAAAGAAGTTTTTTCAACATTTTGTCATATCTCACGAACTAATTGGACCAATCGAGCTGAAACTCAGCGCGTTGTGCTCAGCAGGTTGCGGGCGATCGATTAGCACTGTTATTCTCCAATTTGCAAACAGAAGTTTTTTCAACATTTTGTCATATCTCACGAACTATTGGACCAATCGAGCTGAAACTCAGCGCGTTGTGCTCAGCAGGTTGCGGGCGACCGATTAGCACTGTTCTTCTACAATTTGCAAAAAGAAGTTTTTTCAACATTTTGTCATATCTCACGAACTATTGGACCAATCGAGCTGAAACTCAGCGCGTTGTGCTCAGCAGGTTGCGGGCGACCGATTAGCACTGTTTTTCTCCAATTTGCAAAAAGTAGTTTTTTCAACATTTTGTCATATCTCACGAACTATTGGACCAATTGAGCAGAAACTCAGCGCGTTGTGCTCAGCAGGTTGCGGGCGACCGATTAGCACTTTTCGTCTCCAATTTGCAAAAAGAAGTTTTATCAACATTTTGTCATATCTCACGAACTATTGGACCAATCGAGCTGAAACTCAGCGCGTTGTGCTCAGCAGGTTGCGGCAACCTCGTTCCCAGGGCTTTTCCCTTTTTGTCACTGGGAAGGCGGGAAAAGGCCCTGGCACCGGCCGGTCACATGACTTTCAACACCCAGATATAGTGGGTGTAATAAATTATAATAATAATAATTAGAAAATCCAAGATGGCCGCCAACCTAAGAGTGTCCACAAAATTTAAGTGCTTAGAGCGGCTTAAAAATGCGTTTAGTCTTTGAAATTTTTCCTTCTTTTTGCTACCGACGTACTCGAAATCAGATTCTTCAGCTTTTATTACATGGGAACTATGTAGTTGCTGTTCTTCCAACTGGGTTTGGTAAATATCGTTCGTTCGCTAAACAAAATTAACAGCCAAAATATAATAGTATTACGACAGATGTTCTCCAGCTGGACAGGCTTGCCTAAGAGGACACGGAAAGTGTTTTGAACTGGGGATGTTAAACTTGGTTTTACCCTTCCAAAGACTCTGCTGTGCGACGATTGGAGCGAGTTTATGAGGAATATTTTATACAGTGATTCAAAGAAATGTTTTTGCATATACTGTATATGTTATTGATCTATTGTTGAATGTCACTTATATTATAAAGTGCCAATGGTTGGAATATTTATTCATTGATATTTTAAACACAGATGAAGTGTTATATGCTCTTTCCTTGTTTACGTTTTCCTTGCAGCCAAATGTTGTTGAAGCTGGCAAGCTGCAAAACTGACATATGAGTGATATGACCCAAATATTGGATATGCATCTTAGTTTGCTTACAGTAAAATGTAAACAAGACCTTAAGAATTCTATACAAGATAAGAAATATTACGTTTAAAATCATGACTGGCAAATTAGCATGTGCGAATTGATGCTTCCTAATAATAGTATGTACTAATAATAGCTTGCTTCAATTCTTGCTGTTACCATCTGCACATTATCAGGGTGGAGAGTTGATTTGAATTTTTTGTCCCAGGGGATAAAGGTAGGGAATAGATTTTCCATCACAAAAGGGGCAAGGTGTCCAACCAGCTAGAAGATGGCATGTACTTTAAGTGACCATTCATTATACCCTAGGGTGGGGTGGGAGATTCTTATGTCAAAATGTCATGGAACCCCTTTTTAATCTCTTAATTTAATAATGGAGACCCCTCCTAAATATTTAAGACTGTATAACATGATGCAATTCTAATCTTCATTCATGTGAATGCCTGACTATGAAGAAAATACATTTTGCAACACAGGGATGGATCCAGCATGATCTGGTGGGGTGCTCTGCCAGCTCTGGTGCCGAGTTGTGTCGGTCATGTGTGTCGCCCGCCCATCAACTTGCTTCACTACTGCAAAGTCTTGCTTTACTACTGTATTTGAATTGTAATTGTTGTTCACAGCTTGCTTATCATCATGTTATTACTCAAATTACTGTATCTCATTTTGCCTGTAATAATTTTTTGCTTTATCATGAAAAATAGCACCCCCTCTGGTCAGGGCTAGGGGAGTGCACAGCTCCCCTCCCCCCCAGTAAATCCATCCCTGTTGCAACATACACTACAAGAGCTAGAATGATTGCTTCCTTTGGACGATTTGTCTTAGAATTATATTACCTATATTACAACAAAAGACTCAACAAATCAAGGACCCCCTCCAAGGCAATTTTGCCAGCAAAATAGATTAAATTTGATGGTAATTGTTCTGAGAATATATTAACTCATTGAGTGGCAGCATTCTGCCTAGACTTGCCACAAGTCGACCTCGAACGAAACGCAAGCAGCGAGTGTGAGCCAACGTTTCGTTCGAGGTCGACTTGTGGCAAGTCTACATTCTGTCCTTGAGTAAAATTGTCTGGCACCAGACGGAGTAATATACTAAAGTAAGGACATTGCCACTATAAAGGGTTAAACAAATTTTAAAAAAATTTGCAATGGTCTATATTCAAAAAGCTCAATTTGTAAATTTTAATTGACTTTAATTAAATTAATATAACTACTTATAGCTACCTTGCCCCAGTCACTTCAAGTGAATTCTACGAGGAGGGGGACATTGAAAATCCCTGGGTTTACTTGGTAAAAGCAAGAATTGAACCATGCATTACATGTATATGGAGAGCAGTTTTAAATATATTTTATCATGCAAATAGCTTGACAATTGTTCTTAAACGTCTTTGGCTTAGAATGGGCACACCCTCCAAAGGTGTTTATTTACAGGGTCCAAAGGTGTAAATATACACTGTCCAAGGTAACATATAAACAACAAAAACAATGTATATAATTAAATTTTATTAAATAAAATGTGGAATATTTTACAAATTGCATTACCATCCCAAAGTGTACATAATTTATCAATATAATTAGGACTTAGAAGCTGTTCACATGAGTTTGACTCTGACCCAGCACCCTTGGCTAGCTCCCGGCCCCTTGCCCGATCACAAGTAGAAAACCTCCAACCCCCTCTGACAAATCAGTCCAGATCTGCCCAAGAGGCAGGATTTTCTGGAATATTATTAGCAGTGAAATTGTTGCATATTTTCAAGCATGCATTGTAACCTGATTTTAAAGCCTGTTTGAACATCAGTCATTGTGGCAATGGCATATGAATACAAGGTCCAGCCATATGAATACAATCTTAAAATATCATAAAAACAATGCAATTTAAGGCCAGACAACCCAACTCCTGCGAACAGCCCTTTATTACACATTCGAAGCATCTCTTGAGGCATCAAAGTACTGTACATGCAGGCACATGGAATTACATATGAGTACGGTATGTGACATAAGCCCACCATTGCACAACTTTGTCTGCAACAATGCAAATACAACAAATGCAAATACAATCAAGCTGGAAACGGATTTTATCAGTATTATGTCAGTATTTTTATCAGTATTTTTATATATACATTATGGCTCATGTCTAATGACACCTGCACTTTCATATTGAAATTGTTCTAATATCATCCAAACAAAACACATCAGTAAACTGTAACATCAGCCAAATGAGCAAATCACTTTTTTAACACAATTTATGGTAAAATGAAGCAACATGTAATAGTATCTGAAACAAAACCAAATCACTTATTATTCAAAAGTTGTAAACACTGTTGCATATATGATATATTAACAAAATATCGTCGCATTTCTAGTGGTAACTAACTATAAATTAGGCCAATTTAAACTCGACTATGAAGAATATCAAAAACTAAAGGTCATGTTTCAGTTTATAACCTAGACTTTAGTTTTATAAATATAAACATATTTATAAAACGCTATACGAAGCCAAATATGAAGGCACATTTTGCCCTAAATACTCGGTCAGAGCCTCAGAGGTGTGTTCTAGTACACAATTAATCTTCTCTCACAGTTTAAAACAAACAATAATACTAACCTTCGACAAATTGTGTATAAATCTTATCGAATTTAACCATTTTGCCAAAAATATTTTAGACGGACAAAGTATTTAATAATGGACACTCCTTGCATGAAATATTAATTTATCCCAAAGTTTGAATAAATAAATCCAAGATTGCATTATTTGCATAAAAATGTACTTGTCATTGACCAATCAGAATACATAGAAGACCGGCAGGTGCCAGGGCCTTTTCCCGCCTTCCCAGTGACAAAAAGGGAAAAGCCCTGGGAACGAGGTTGCAGGTTGCGGGCGACCGATTAGCACTGTTATTCTCCAATTTGCAAAAAGAAGTTTTTTCAACATTTTGTCATATCTCACGAACTATTGGACCAATCGAGCTGAAACTCAGCGCGTTGTGCTCAGCAGGTTGCGGGCGACCGATTAGCACTGTTATTCTCCAATTTGCAAAAAGAAGTTTTTTCAACATTTTGTCATATCTCACGAACTATTGGACCAATCGAGCTGAAACTCAGCGCGTTGTGCTCAGCAGGTTGCGGGCGACCGATTAGCACTGTTCTTCTCCAATTTGCAAAAAGAAGTTTTTTCAACATTTTGTCATATCTCACGAACTATTGGACCAATCGAGCTGAAACACAGCGCGTTGTGCTCAGCGGGATAGTCTAAATGGCGCGGGTCGCGAGTCAATAGATCATGGCGCGGGTCCAGCGAAAATGGCGCGGGTCCAGCGAACATGGCGCGGGTAACAAGTTCCGAGGCGCGAGTAAAAATTCCGAGGCGCGGGTAACAAGTTCCGAGATCAATTACCCAGTACTAAATATATTCAAGATGGCGGCTATTTTGACTAAAAATTCTGCAATTATTCGGTCAAATATCGTCTCTTTCTGTGGAAACTCGCGAGCTTCAAACTTAAACTAACAGACATCAATTAACTTAAGCAAATCACGTTTGAAGGCGTTATATTCTGCATATTTTTAAACGCAAAGAGAGTGAACAGTTGGAATGTTTGGATGGAGTCTGTCACTGTCAGTATATTTAATAATTTTATTAATTTATATACTGTAAATACTAATCTGTTAAATAAAGTAAAAAGATAATTAATCAAAATTCTCTATGGAATTTTGGTTATAAAACCCCCACAATATTCTAAGCATTTTTTGCGGCTTAAAAATTATAGTATTTATACCAGTTAACCAGTAATCAGTATTTAATAATTTATGAATTGCCTGATTCATATACTGTATGACATTTTTAATAATTTAATTATATGATCAGTTTGACATAATTCTAAATGCATTTTATAGCCTGGTCGTTGACCAGGGCCGAAATACATGCTAATATCTAATAAATTGGGTGTGAAAGTGCCTTTCTGACAATTTTTGTACAACTTACTTACTAAGTACTTCTGCACAAATAGTGTTCAGGCCCATCTACACAATACGACTAGTCATATACGATTCTTATCCTGTAGATTGGCCTTTACAGTACTGCCATTATGCGTGAATCAATTCCTTCTGTTACCATCCTCCCCCCGGGCAACCCCCGGGACAATGCAAAAAAACTAATCCCGGGGGTAGGGAATTGTTTGAATAATTTTGTCCCGGGGGTTACCCCCGGGTAAAAAGCAAAGAACCAAACAAAAAATGCCAGAGGTCAACCTAATATATTGCTCAACCTAATTATATTGCTCAACCTAATTATATTGCTCCTATTCGCAAATTCGCAGGACATTCCAGCAAAAGAGTTTATAGCCGCCATTTTGATGCGCAACCAAACAAAGTCCTAAGTATGAGATTGACTTATTAGGCTGACCTCTGGCATTTTTTGTTTGGTTCTTTGCTTTTTACCCGGGGGTAACCCCCGGGACAAAATTATTCAAACAATTCCCTACCACCGGGATTAGTTTTTTTGCATTGTCCCGGGGGTTGCCTGGGGGGAGGATGGTAACAGAAGGAATTGATTCACGCATAATGGCTGTACTGTAAAGGCCCATCTACAGGATAAGAATCGTATATGACTAGTCGTATTGTGTAGATGGGCCTGAACACAATTTGTGCAGAAGTACTTAGTAAGTAAGTTGTACAAAAATTGTCAGAAAGGCACTTTCACACTCCATTTATTAGATATTAGCATGTATTTCGGCCTTGGTCAACGACCAGGCTATAAAATGCATTCAGAATTATGTCAAACTGATCATATAATTAAATTATTAAAAATGTCATACAGTATATGAATCAGGTAATTCATAAATTATTAAATACTGATTACTGGTTAACTGGTATAAATACTATAATTTTTAAGCCGCAAAAAATGCTTAGAATATTGTGGGAGTTTTCTAACCAAAATTGCATAGAGAATTTTAATTAATTATCTTTTTACCTTATTTAACAGATTAGTATTTACAGTATATAAATTAATAAAGTTATTAAATATACTGACAGTGACAGACTCCATCCAAACATTCCAACTGTCCACTCTCTTTGCGTTTAAAAATATGCAGAATATAACGCCTTCAAACGTGATTTGCTTAAGTTAATTGATGTCTGTTAGTTTAAGTTTGAAGCTCGCAGAGTTTCCACAGAAAGAGACGATATTTGACTGAATAATTGCAGAATTTTTAGTCAACATAGCCGCCATCTTGAATATATTTAGTACCGGGTAATTGATCTCGGAACTTGTTACCCGCGCCTCGGAACTTTTTACTCGCGCCTCGGAACTTGTTACCCGCGCCATGTTCGCTGGACCAGCAACATTTTCGCTGGACCCGCGCCATGATCTATTGACTCGCGACCCGCGCCATTTAGACTATCCCGTGCTCAGCAGGTTGCGGGCGACCGATTAGCACTGTTCTTCTCCAATTTGCAAAAAGAAGTTTTTTCAACATTTTGTCATATCTCACGAACTATTGGACCAATCGAGCTGAAACTCAGCGCGTTGTGCTCAGCAGGTTGCGGGCGACCGATTAGCACTGTTATTCTCCAATTTGCAAAAAGAAGTTTTTTCAACATTTTGTCATATCTCACGAACTATTGGACCAATCGAGCTGAAACTCAGCGCGTTGTGCTCAGCAGGTTGCGGGCGACCGATTAGCACTGTTATTCTCCAATTTGCAAAAAGAAGTTTTTTCAACATTTTGTCATATCTCACGAACTATTGGACCAATCGAGCTGAAACTCAGCGCGTTGTGCTCAGCAGGTTGCGGGCGACCGATTAGCACTGTTATTCTCCAATTTGCAAAAAGAAGTTTTTTCAACATTTTGTCATATCTCACGAACTATTGGACTAATCGAGCTGAAACTCAGCGCGTTGTGCTCAGCAGGTTGCGGGCGACCGATTAGCACTGTTATTCTCCAATTTGCAAAAAGAAGTTTTTTCAACATTTTGTCATATCTCACGAACTATTGGACCAATCGAGCTGAAACTCAGCGCGTTGTGCTCAGCAGGTTGCGGGCGACCGATTAGCACTGTTATTCTCCAATTTGCAATAGAAGTTTTTTCAACATTTTGTCATATCTCACGAACTATTGACCAATCGAGCTGAAACTCAGCGCGTTGTGCTCAGCATGTTGCGTTTGACCGAATAGCACTATTTGCAGCAATGTGCAAAAATAAGTTTTTTTTAACATTTTGTCATATCTCACGACCTATTGGACCAATCGAGCTGAAACTCAGCGCGTTGTGCTCAGCAGGTTGAGTTTGACCGAATAGCAGTATTTGCTGCAATGTGCAAAAATAAGTTTTTTCCAACATTTTGTCATATCTCCCGAACTACTGAACCAATCGAGCTGAAACTCAGCGCGTTGTGCTCAGCAGGTTGCGTTTGACCGAATAGCACTATTTGCTGCAATGTGCAAAAATAAGTTTTTTCCAACATTTTGTCATATCTCAAGAACAATTGAACCAATCGAGCTGAAACTCAGCGCGTTGTGCTCAGCAGGTTGCGTTTGACCGAATAGCATTATTTGCCGCAATGTGCAAAAGTAAGTTTTTTCCAACATTTTGTCATATCTCACGAACTATTGAACCAATCGAGCTGAAACTCAGCGCGTTGTGCTCAGCAGTTTGCGTTTGACCGAATAGCACTATTTGCTGCAATGCGCAAAATAAGTTTTTTCCAACATTTTGTCATACCTCACGGACAATTGAACCAATCGAGCTGAAACTCAGCGCGTTGTGCTCAGCAGGTTGCGTTTGACCGAATAGCACTATTTGCTGCAATGTGCAAAAATAAGTTTTTTCCAACATTTTGTCATATCTCACGAACTATTGAACCAATCGAGCTAAAACTCAGCGTTGTGCTCAGCAGGTTGACTTTGACCGAATAGCACTATTTGCTGCAATGTGCAAAAATAAGTTTTTTCCAACATTTTGTCATATCTCACGAACTATTGAACCAATCGAGCTGAAACTCAGCGCGTTGTTTCCAACATTTTGTCATATCTCACGAACTATTGAACCAATCGAGCTGAAACTCAACGCGTTGTGCTCAGCAGGTTGCGTTTGACCGAATGCACTATTTGCTGCAATGTGCAAAAATAAGGTTTTTCCAACATTTTGTCATATCTCACGAACTATTGAACCAATCGAGCTGAAACTCAGCGTTGTGCGCAGCAGGTTGAGTTTGGCCGAATAGCACTATTTGCTGCAATGTGCAAAAATAAGTTTTTTCCAACATTTTGTCATATCTCACGAACTATTGAGCCAATCGAGCTGAAACTCAGCGCGTTGTGCTCAGCAGTTTGCGTTTGACCGGATAGCACTAGTTGCTGCAATGTGCAAAAATAAGTTTTTTCCAACATTTTGTCATATCTCACGAACTATTGAACCAATCGAGCTGAAACTCAGCGCATTGTGCTCAGCAGGTTGCGTTTGACCGAATAGCACTATTTGCTGCAATGTGCAAAAATAAGTTTTTTCCAACATTTTGTCACATCTCACGAACTATTGAACCAATCGAGCTGAAACTCAGCGCGTTGTGTTCAGCAGGTTGCGGTTGACCGAATAGCAGTATTTGCTACAATGTGCAAAAATAAGTTTTTTCCAACATTTTGTCAT